GATAGTTGCTCTGACGAACCCCGAATCAGTTTAGTAGTTATGTAGAGTCAGGGAATATATGGATGTGTTTCTGCATGCTAGCTGCACACATCCATAAAATAAATGTAAAACAAAGTGACACTAATAAGGTGGCCTAGGAACCTGAGGGGCTGAAAGCCCATGGAGATGGACTTCCCAAACCCCAGAAGGAAAGTAATAAAATAAAGGGAAAAAAACAAAACAGTGACAGGTAGGTGTCAGAAATCCTTGAACTTAAGTTCTCTCAGGTGTATGGTTCCTAGATTGTGCCGATAAACTGGGTAGACAGTTGATAAAACTACTGATTTCAGGTACCTGGGTGGCTCAGTCCGTGCAGCATCTGCCTTGGACTCAGGTCATTATCCCAGGGTCCTGGGATGGAGCCCCACTTTGCTGCTCCCTTTCCCTCTGCCACCTGCTTGTGTGCTTCTTCTCTCTCAAATGAATAAATAAAATCTTAAAAAAAAATAGACTGATCTCTGCAAACAAGGGATCTGAAGATTTGGGAAGTGAAATTTCACAACCTCGTGCTAATAAAGAATTGCAAGTAGTTGACAAAAAAAAGGTGATAGTATCAGTCAGGGTCCTTTCTGCTCAAAATGATCAATGATTATACTTAAATGAAATTAATACGTCTGGGGTATTGCTGGCTAATGTCAATGAACAGTGTAGTTTACTTAGGAGCTAGGATTGTAATAAGCAGCATTTCCCTTCTGCACTCCTCTTGCCCCTGGCTTGGCTCAGCTCTCATGGGAGGGCTTCTGCACCCCGAAGCTGGCAGCGGCCATCACATCCTCCTGTCGCCTATTGCGGAGATGGCGTTGTTGTCCAGCAGGCCTGGCACATGGGACACATGTCTACAGAACATGCATATGGGACTGCATGAAATTACTGGCCAGGGCCTGAAACAGCCTGATGGCCAGGGAAATAGAATGTGGCTGCTGGCTGAAGTCTGTATTCATCTGCTAATCTGTGAACTCATCCAATCAATTAATCAATATGTTAAAACCCTTCCTTGACCTCGGTCACTATGGTCCAAGGGAATGAGCCATGCCAGTAACACCCTAGGCCATAGCACCAGAATTGCATAATTGGTAATGGGGAAGTGGTAGTTCCCCAAACTACTCAGAGCAGATGGGATATTGTTATCGGAAGGGAGGAGAGTGGACTTGAGAAACATGTGCCTCCAGGGGACCTAAAGCCTGCTTCCAGGACCCAGAGCCCAGGGGGAGTGGGGGAGCTTCTGTATTCCCAGGGCTGGCTCAGGAAAACAGGATATATAAGAGTGATGGCCAGTCAGGTGCACTGGTTTTACGAGTCCAGGTCAGAGCCACATTTGTGAGTTCGTTTACCCTCACTCTGTCCATTTACCTACTCTGCATCACTGACGTGTCATTAAGCTTCCTTGTGTAACGGAGTCAGTCCTGCCTTTCAGACAACATGTGTATATGGTCACTTGTCTCTGGAGAACTTTCCTCATCCTATAAGAGCCAGGCAAATATCCCTGTTCCTGTGAAGGCTGAACTGAAGCACCTTTGGGGCAGCCACAAGTGTGCCCGGAGCCCACACCATCTGCTGGACATCTTGTCTTGCTTCCTGTCTCCTCTACTCAGCTCTGAGCTGTTGGATGATACATCACCCGCTTTGTCTCCGGAGTGAGGCACGACAGGACAGAGTACTTAGCAAAGGCTTGGTTAAAACATACATGAATAATTTAATGTCCTCATTCATCATCTCAAATCTCAGCAATTTTAGGTAGGAAATATCTCAAGATATGGTGCCTAATACATAGAAGCTGTGGAAATAATAAATAACTTGGATTTATTGCATCCCGGTTAGATAGTTTTATATGTTTTCCATGCACCATATCATCCCATCCTCCCTACCCATGTGCTGGGTGGGCACTGCTGCCTCTGCGTAGAGGTTCAACAACCTGCAGCAGGCTGCCAGTTAGTCATTGGTGGGAGTCAGATTCTGCTCACACCCTCTCTGACTCAAATGCCCGCACTTTGTCTCTAGCTCCTCGAACTTCCACTGGCAAGGATGGGGGAATTCCCTAGCAAAGAAGAGAAACATTTTAACCCAATACCAAGAAGGAAAGTGAAAAACTCATGTAAATGAAAAATCAGCTGTGAATTGGGGATCCCTGGGTGGCGCAGAGGTTTGGCGCCTGCCTTTGGCCCAGGGCGCGATCCTGGAGACCCGGGATCGAATCCCACGTCGGGCTCCCGGTGCATGGAGCCTGCTTCTCCCTCTGCCTGTGTCTCTGCCTCTCTCTCTCTATCTGTGTGACTGTCATAAATAATTAAAAAAAAAAAAAAAAACCCAAGTAACCCTGAAAGCGTGTTTGTCACAGGTTATGACAGGTTTATTATTTTTCTTTGAGGTCCTGTGTGTGTGAGCTGGGGTTGACTTCTCATGTTCACACGGGTCATGCTTTGCTCAGGAGAGCTGGTCTGTTGCTTCAAGGTATGAAAACTTGAACATGTCCAGAGGATAAGCCCTAAGGAAAATCATGAAGGGATTGTTTGTGAGCTGCTTCACATGGGTATTCACAATGCTTTAGTGTCTATGGACCTGGATTGATACAAATGTGGGGTCCCGTAAGGTATGTGTCCAAAACCCAGGCAACCAGACTCCTCAAAGGTCAGCATGAGAAGCAAAGCTGCTTCAGGTCGCTTTTCTCTAGAAATCATGTTGATGTCTTAGGATTTGTTTCAAAAGTGACTTTATGAGAAAAAAGTGGGGGGAGGAGGATTTTATGTGTTTAGACCATGGGCGGGAAGGCTGCCTGTGCCCAGTGGTAAAGGGCAGCTCTGTAGGTTGCTGGACCGCCTGGGGTCCCGCAGGAGCCCGGCCAGGGTGCCTTCTCAGGACAAGCCCCCACTGACTGCAGCCTGAACCCCCTCTGTGCTTGCACTTCCTCCAGACAAGCTTGTGGGCACCTGCGTCTCCCAGCGGGCATGGCCCAGCCCTTAGTCAGCCTGGGGCCTCTCAAGGCACGTGTCCCCCAACTCCCAGTTAACTTCATACGTTCCGATCTTCCTAACTGCTTTCCCCCCCTGAAAAAAATGGCAAAACCATTTAAACTTCTTACTGACTTGTTGACTTTATTTTCAATACTCTGACAGAGCAACTTTATTTCTTGTGTTCTGTAAAGCCAATCTAGCACGAGGGAAACAAGAGAGCCACCACGTCCTAGGAACTGTTAGGAAGGTTCTTCCTGGCATAGTTTTGGGACCTTGTACCTGGTCACACTCTGGGTGTGTTGGTGGGAGAGAAAGTAGACCTGACAGGCCAACGAGCAGCCGGGGAGCCCCTCACGGACGGAGCTTCTAGCTGTGTGGACGCAGCTTCCTGACCCCTGCAGAGGCCAGCCCTGCCTGGTCACCGGGCTTCGGCTCTCATGTGCTCACTGCTCCTCGTCTGGCAGGTTAGCTGCGGCCTGAGACCCCGGTGAGACTCGGAGGTGCACTGGGTGGTGAGGGGAGCCCGGGGGAGGGACGAGAGAAATCCAGTTGTGAGGATGGAGGCACATGCAGGGGTAAAGACAGCAAGGGCTAACTTCCGGGGCAAAAGGGACACTGTGAACCACAGAAAGACGCCCCAGCTCAGTGGCAGGTGGGCAGCCTCGCGCCAGCTGGCTGTGGGGCTCTCCCCTCACGCCCCGGCCACCTGCCAGCTCACCCACTCACCTCTTCACGGCGGTGATACCTTATGACACTGAAAACTGGCTAAAGGATGAAGAACCTGAGAAGGCACAGCCAACAAGGAACAGGAACTTGTACATGCTGGAGATACAAAGTCAGGACTCGGTCCTTTGGGGCAGGAAAGAGCAGACTCCGGTGGGAGGTATCACCAGAGCAAGGGTCGGTCTCAACAGAGAGCAAGGCCAGCACCCCTGTCTCCTAAGCCTTAGGGATGAAGTTGGCTGAGAGTAGAAGGTGAAGGCCCCTAGAATGTCTTTATTTCCCGCAGAGATGAGAGGCTCCGTGTGGGCTGGGACACAGAGCATCTGACACTAAGGAAATTGGGTGGGAGTGGGTCCGTGCAAATACATTACTGCGGCAGCCACTTACAAGTCGGGAGGAAAGTGTGACTAGAATTACATCTGTAAGCGTGTTCTTAGAGACTTGTACTGGCACTGTGAGAGTGGCCTGCAAAACTTTTGTAGAATGTCCAGCACACACATGAGGTGTGAGGGGAGGCGCGAGGGCCCATTCTTTTCCATGGTGGGTCTGCAGGGGGACAGCTGGCCGGGAAACTGCTGCACCACGGGGTGTTTACACCTCGTCATAGAGCAGATTCTTCCCTGAGTGGGGAAAGGGATCACTTGGCTGGTGCTCGGTCTCACTCAGGGGAGAGGTGGCTTGCCTGCCAGGGCATCAGCCCTCGGAAACACTCTGTGCAAATGCTCACCTGTCCCGGGATGTCCCCTGTGCTGAGTAGGGAGAAGAGGCTGAGGGCACAACACCCGCCGCACATCTGCATACTCGCCCAGGTGCCAGAGCAAGAAACCAGCAGGAGCAGGATGGGAGGATGAGGACAAGTGTTTGCAGAGAGCGGGGAGGAAGAACTGTCCTGCATCTGGTGTGCGGGAAGGCTCTGTCACAGCGTCGGGGGCAGCCTTTGTCCAGAATGGTTCAAAAACAGAAAATAGACTAAATGCTGGCTCTCAAAGCAAGCTCCCCAGTCCGGACCGGATGTCTGTAAATATCTCAAAAGACACTATTCATTTCCTCTTGGCAGCAGCCTATGAAAAGAAGGGGTAAACAAGTTTCCACAGGCCTTTTTTTTTTCTATTGCAATCTAAAAAGTTATTTTCATAAATTGTAAAGAAGAATGTTTGTTCCATATCCTTCCTGTTATTTTCAGGGCCTACCATTTAAGGGAAAATAGTGTAATTTTGTAGTTGTAAGAGACGTATTAAATATATTTTTTTATTTTTTTACAGATTTTATTTATTTATTCATGAGAGACACAGAGAGAAAGAGAGAGGCAGAGACATAGGCAGAGGGAGAAGCAGGCTCCATGCAGGGAGCCTGATGTGGGACTTGATCCCAGGTCTCCAGGATCACGCCCTGGGCCGAAGGTAGGTGCTAAACTGCTGAGTCACCCAGGGATCCCCTACATTTTTTTGATCCCCTATATTTTAAAACCATAAAAGACTTCATGTTGTCAGTCCTAAAATCTACTGTCATTGCATTAGTTTCCATAACTAAATGTTGTGTTAGTGTTCTTCATAGACATCTGGTGAGATACATCTCATTTCACTATGGATTTGGGGCCCTGCTGCCTTCCGAGGACAATGTGTTTTTACCAAGGAGTGTCTTCAATCTCTGTGGCCTTTCATTAGTCTTTGTAATATTTTATTCTCTATCAGGGGATGCAAATGCATGGATCAAGAGGCCCGTCAGAGTTTAGGGCTAGATTAAGTCTATGAAAATGTTATCCCAAGATGAATTTATGCTTACAGACAAGTGGTGCTAAAAGTATGAAACGCTAAAAATTCAGCATGGCATTATTCGGTGAGTTTTCTGAGTGAATAAGTTAGCCTAGTCGCCAGAGCTAACCAACCAGGTTTTTCTCATACAACCAAATATTTGTCTGAGCTACCAAGGCAGATTATAAGAGGTTCCTCTAAGCACTGTTAGCTCAGAGAGAAGGGAATTGGGTACCACTGTCTACTGTGCATCAATCAGCACAGTCTCTCTGAAGCTCATACCGACCTATTGCAGTGCATCTTACCGACGATGGCCAGATCTATGTCTCAGAAACTTTGCTCGGAAGCTGCCACTCATCCAACCAACAGCTTTTAATGGAAGATTCTCAGCCAAGATGAAGCCTCTTAGGGACATTGTTGGAGCCTTGCAGTAAAGTATCTCCAGTGGCTCTGCAGAACCAAATAGTCACATTTTGAGGGTCAAGACTAACGGTCAAATGATTCTCATATTTTGAAAGGAATGTCTGCCTGCTTCCAGGACAGTGCAGTTAGATGGAGACACACCCGGCGCCTGGCCTGCGTTCACTGTAAGGGATGAGCAGCAGACACCATCTCCAGGTCTGCCCCCGGACCCGGAGGGTCTGTAGCTCTGCAGGCTCGCCTCACAGCAGAGCTGCCAGTGTGCGAGGCTGGGTGGCAAGCACACGGACGTGGGGACAGAGCTGTGACCGAGGACCTCCGCCCTGCCCTTAAGCCCTCGCGGACAGCTGCTGAACAGGAGGCAGGCTGGCATGCGGGGAGAGACCCAGACCTGTGCCCTGACCCCTCTACCCTCCAGCTCCAGGACCTAGGGCTTCTGTGGGTCAGTCACTGCCTCAAAAAATGTGAATCCTAGGAGTGACAGTAGTATTTCCTGGGGCTTTTGAGAATGAAATGAGTTAATTTTATCATAAAAGCAGTTTTAATGTTTTTGGGGTTTTTTTGGGGGGGGGGGTTGTTTTTTTTTTTTTTTTTTTTTTTTTTTGTAGTGCTTTAAACATTTTCTAAAGCCAGCTTAATCTTGAAGTACTTCCCTTCACCCCACCCTCTTCCAAAGGTCAGAGCAATTTAAATAACCCCAGTTGTGCTGTGTCAGGGGGAAGGACTGAGCCACTCTCGCAGCTGTGGCCGGGGTTTGGGCAACAGACAGGCTGGAGGGGAGTTCACAGCCGTGAGTCCTGCTCTCTAGACACGGATGTGGGCAAAAGAGAGTCCACACACATAGCTGGAAAAATGGAAACACGGCTCCTGCAGAGAGTACTTCAAAGTCTGCACTCGAGCCACTGCAGATGGAGAGGCCAAACATGCTTCTTTTTCATATTCACTCTGAAACAGCATGTGGCCAGGGCCTGGAGAGATGTGGGCCACGAGGGCTGTGTGCGGCCAGAAGCAGAAAGCAGCACGCTGACATCAGGAAGGCGAGGAGCAGAGTATTTTTGGGTACTAGAAAGTCATACTGTTGGGGTAACATACTCGCTTGAGAAGACTATATTTTGTATGTGTTATAAGGGGATTACCAAAAAGAAATCTTCCCTTTCAGATTATTTACCTTGTTTAAAGGCAGACATTCACTGAGGAAAAGGAAATAGATGACACAATAATAATCTTGTAACCTAGTTTAAAACATGAATGATCTCTCCTATATATACTTATTTACTCTCTAGCTCTTCCATTTTATAGTAACAGTGATAAATGAATATTTGAGATACTTTGAGGATCACTAGCCATAAGTCTAATATAGTCCATACTTACTTTTAAAAATTTTGAAGATTATTTTAGAGAGAGAGTGAGAGAGCAAGAGAGAGTGCCTGCAAGTCAGGGGGGCAGAGGGAGAGAACCACAAGCTGACTCCCCTCTGAGCACAGAGCCTGGCGCGGGGCTCTATCCTACCACCTGGAGATCATGACTAAGCGTAAACCAAGAGTCAGATGCTTAACCAACTGAGCCAGCCTATCACCCCTTAATTAAAAATTTTCTAAGCAGTGTGTTATTAATTATGATTTATAGGATTTATACAGCAAGAGGAAAAAGAAAGTAGTTTGCAAAAGTCAAAAATATGGTTGAAACATCAAGCTGCCTATTTTAATTAGCAACCTGAATTTAATAAGCTAATAAAATTCTTAAAAGCACCAGCATCATTGTAGACATGCTCACACATCTGAACATTCTTTCTCTTGGTTCTCCCCTTACTCTTTGTCCTTTTCCTCCTACATTTCCATCAGATTTTCCATTCATCCTGGGTCCCTCCAACCTCTTAGGAACAAGGGTTCCATCCTTCACCTGCTGACTTTCTTAACCTCATGCTGCCCTTGGGAAATCTCATCTACTATGAAATAATGAATTATTGTCTACAATTCTACTTTTCCAAACCCAACCTTGACCTTTCTCTACACTTAGGACTCCTGTGTTGCCTGGGACATTTCCGGGTAGCTTAGACTTATGGTGGTTTAGCAGTGCACAGTGGTGTTTCCATCCAGCTTTCTCATCCTTCCCTGTTTCCCAGTCCATGGAGCCACCATATGGTTTCTGAACTTAAACTAAGTATCCTGCATTTATTCCCTGGTATTTGCTGGCCCGTTTATCTTTTTTGCTTCCCTTTAAATGATTCTGAGTGTATTCTTACCTCGCACCCATTTCTCCTTCCAGTTTGAATGACATTGGATTAACACACAGCTCTCTTCTTGACACTAAGATCTATTCAGTTTTTCAAGGCAAATTTAGTTTTTATCAGGCCTTTTTTCAAGAAGACTAATTAGGAAATAAATAATCTGAAACATACTCTTCAGATGTCTTCAGTTCCCTTAATCCGCATGGCCCCAGCCTCATCTGTTCTTTGGATCTTCAATTTAGAATCATGCCTGGACATTAAACCTACCCTATAATAACATAAATATGGTTATTGGATTCATTGAAGAGTAAAATTTCTCAACACAGATGGATCTTTAAAGTGCCCAGTATTCATTTTACATGTCATTCTTCTCTCTTTCCTAGTGCTTACTTTACTTCCTAACTGAAGTAACCTTTACTTCCTAACTGAAGCTGGCCATTTCCAACCCCAGGATAATCTTCACTTTTATTTACCACAGAAACAAAATATAATGCCTACCAACTTTTTGATGTCTTCTTTCTGCCTCAAAAACCTCTGACTTGACTCATCCTTATGGAAAGGATACTATGTTCTGTGTGGAATTTTCCTCTTGTCCAAAAATTGATGCTAAGGTCCAAAGTCAAGACCAGAAGTTCCTAAACATTCCGCATTCTAAACTCAAGATCCAAAGTCAAGACCAGAAGTTACTAAACATTCCACATTCTAAACTCAGAAATCTATCATCTGTTGGTCAGACCATCTTCCACAGGACTTACAGCAAGGGGCATCAGAGAACCCATCCCACAACCATTGCCTCATAAAACCCAGCTCATCATGTAAGAAAATTGAGGAGAGAGTTTTTGGGCCTTTGGGCCTTTTTGTAGAGTGTGATGTTCTGTAAAAGAAACTATGCTTCCTTCATTCTCTTCCCTATGGAGAGGCTTTTCATCTCCAAATTGAGAAAAGATACAAGAAAAATCACTCATAAAATTCAGAGTTCTGCAAAAATACCACACTAGCATTTTGTTCCCCATTGAAAATTCATTTAACCTTTAGACAAGTTAATATACCCTTTGATGCTAGAGCAGGAGCAAAAGTCCTGGAGAGAGAGGGCATGAGGAAGAATGAGGAGAACAGGAATGCTTCCTATATATCCTGGCTTTCCAGAGATCTAAGGTTGTGTGCCAAACTTGTCTTTAGGTCCTGGAGTTGGAAGTCTTGGAAGGAAGGTGAAGTTGTGGATGTGATAATAACATGGATTACGGTGAGTTCTGGACAGATTAGAAGAGAATTGAACCTTGCCCATGGTGGTACAAGCCAATGGATAAGGAATCTTTGTGTCTTCAACCCCTCCTCCCCAGGGAAAGCTCAGGAAGAGAAAAGAGAGGTAGTCAGAGTAAACCACACCCCAGTTCCAAGCTTATAGAGCTGCCTACTTTCTGTAGGGGATCTTTCTGTTGCAGAGGGAATAAAAACCAAATAAAAAACAACAAAAAAAACTTAAAGAAATTAGATCAATGATTTTGAATGATCAAGATTAAAAACTTAATAACATTTAAGAGAGTGCTAGGATTGAGCTAAAATTTTTAAGAGGACTACCACCAAGCAGGAAGATATCACTGAAAGCTGGAATCAAAAAAATTTAAAACTATCTGAAGTTTGTGTGATTTAAAAATAAATCATAAATAGCACAAGGGTCGGCAGGTATGTATTTTAACATTCTCCTTAAACCTTAGTTATTTCATTTCTTTGAACAAAGATCTGAATTGGAGATTGAAAAAAATACGTAGAACAAATAGTCTATTAATCAGTACTTGGTGTTTTTATGTCAAATAATAGACTTGATTTTCCTTTTTAATCAATGCAAATTATTATTACCCACAATGTCTCCATATTTTCTTCTTCTTTACAGAGTTATACATGTGGCAGGATTTAAGTCAAATCTCTTAAACCCTCTTTACTCTTTAAATTCCTATTTGTTGTATTCATTATTTAAACATTAAATTCAATGCTTAGTGGTTGTTCTCCACTATTTTATGAGGGTCTGCTGTAGCTTCCATTCGATTTTCAAGTCTTGGATGTGATAAATGTAATTTACATATGCCTCCAGACAAATCTGAATGAACGCAGTAGGTACTCTGAATGCATATGGCTATATGCTGCAAATAAGATCTCCCTTACTTTTCCAGCATCATTTAGTGTTATTTCACGGACCCTTTCTGGAAGGTTGGGAAACTACCCTTGAAGAGTTACTAGCTATACCAACAAAGCCATAAGATTTGTTCAAAACTGTAGTGGTCACCACATAATGAATGATCCTGTCAGGGTGTATCTGACTGACCCACTGACCCATTCTGCATTCATAGTCTCTGCTGCAACATTTCTGAAGTGCCAGAGAGCCCCGACGGGATGTCGTGGGACCCACAGGCAGAAATCACCCAGCTCATTCTGGAGTAGGTGTGTTGATAGAGAGCTCCCTCCTTCACTTGTACAGTTATCTGCATGATTGAAAACTAAATTTAAATATTTTCCCGCGGGGGGTGGGGATGTCAGTTTGATGTTCTGTTACCAAAAAAAAAAAAAAAAAATCTTTTTACATGTGAAAAGAGAAAATTGTATTGCTGGGTACAGTAATTTAGCATGTGTTAAAATTAAGTATCTCAAAAATCTACAGAGCCTGAAAAGGTGGATGGAAATGAGCTGCTTTCCAAGCTAATGGCACAAGAAATGACAGCTACGCTGCTCTCTTTTCCTCACACTTATAATGATCTGTTTCTCTCAGGGTTTGAAAGAACTTAAGATCTCGCTGCTTTCCACTCTGGGGTATAGAAGATTCAGAGAAATGAGTCTCGGGCTCTGGTGTGAGCTCAGAAGTGCCTGGTAGCTTCACTTGTGGTGCTCAGTCTCCATATGTGGTGCGTAAGCAACCAGGCAGACCTAGCTGCCCCTCCGGCCTCTCCACTTTCTGCCCTGCTTTGAGAAGGCAAAAATTTTTACAATTTTTATATCTTTTCCCTCTCTAGAAAGATCCTCTGTGAACCTGTATGATGTCTAATCTATACAGGCCAAATTGTTCTACATGTTCTTTTTTCCTATACAGACTTTCTTGAGGATCCCTTCAATCTGCATTTCAGAAGATGGGAAGCGGAGTCCACTAAAGTGCTCCCCACAGAATGGGGTTCCCAGAGCAACGCTGTAGGACGTCATTCCCCCAAATCCTGCCCCAACTGCGGCAATGACCAAATGGGTTTTGCTGCTTTAAAACACTGTTAGTGTTTTGTTACACAGCCTTGAATCGCTAGAACAAGGGACAATCATGTCGCTGTCAGGATGTTGGTGTGCAGTGAACACAGTGGGAAGAAAATACATGGGGATGTTGTGTGCTTGAAGATTTAAAAAAAAACATGTTTTCAGAGGTGATGGGAAAGATGTGATTTTATATCTGAAGTTAACTGTAGACATATTCTAAACCATGTTTTATCTCTGAGAAAATTGATTATGAGGGAGGTGAAGAAGCTAGCTCTATGTCAGCAGGTTACATTGTGCCACAATTGCTGCTTTCTGAATTCCTGAAAATGTTCAATATGGAGGAAGATGAGAATTAAAGTCTCTTAGTGACAACATAAAGGTTAATAAAATTTAAAAGGACAGGAGGCTTCAAATATGACTTTCTATTAAGTCTGCCATAAACACATAGGAATAGACCCTGGCTTTTAAAAGGAAAAAGGCTGATAAATACGTCTTTCCGCAGTATGTCTGTACATTGACACTTGTGATATATTTTAAGTGTATTCTCCCTGTGTGAGCTGAATATACTCGTGGTAATCACAGAGGGGAAAAAAGGAGAGTCCGGGATTCGTAGCCTCTTGTATTATGTGTACATATTTATACACATGAAAATATATGGACATGCATTCCTATTTTACATCTATATTGAGCATCACAAAATCAAGAACTTTTAACATCATAGCCAGCAAAAAAGGCTTACATGTAGGTGTAATTAGCAATGTGAAGCTGCTGTGGAAGGCCCATCACATTCCTCATGTTGGATTAAATGTTGAACTGTAGGAACAGATTCTCCATTCTCAACATCATCTCAGTTATAATCTATAAAACATCATTTACTACACATAATGTCAAAAGCCGTGGCTTCATTGGTAAAGGTACATTATGAAGAGACATATGTAAGCATTAATCCTATAAAGGAAAAAAACACAACAAAAAAAAGTTTTAGCTATAGGAAGCTTTAATGTAAGGATGGAGAAAGGACCCCATGCATAGGTGGTGTCATTTTGAGGACAATTCTACATCCTATGGAGCCGAAGCTGACCTGTACAAAATCCTAACTTCTCTCATTAATCACTCTGAACTGTTTCTATCTCCCACACATGATGTTACTTCTCCATTGCCCGTTTCAAACCTCAGACACAACCCAGGTGGCAGGAAGAGGTGAAGGTATGGTTACTCTGAAGGCCATGCCGATAAAACATGTAGGGTTTTTGGCGTTGGGTTCATGTCTAGGTGACTCAATGCATGGAACTCACATCCAGAAAAGAAGGTTACTGAGACCAGAAACTCACCAGAGGTGACTCTTGCACGAACAGCGTTGTAGAGAGGTAATATAGCACAGGTGATGTGGGTACCCATGGTACCATATTAATCCCAGCTCAGTCATCCAATAGTTTTGTTTTTAACAATTTCAACAATATTTACACCAATTTAATGGAATTCACAAAAATAATTAAATGAGTAAATTAATATAAGTACTTAGAGTTTCAGAATATAAATTCTTGATTGATGGTAAATACTGCTAGCTATTTTTCGTGATAACTTGTTCTCATGCACAAGTAAATCTTTAATAAGATTAATAAAGTTAATGTCAAGTTAATACGTGATGGGTACAATTTCAATTTACTGTTATATTTTAGTATAAAATATATTAATCATGTGGAAAATACAGAGAGTCATGTAAAAACAGCAGCATACCCATCACTCAGCTTTAAAAAAATCTTGATACTCTTTCCTATTAACTTTAGAGTTTGTTTTGTTCAAAAAATAAAACTATGTACATACTGGTAGCCCTTGGTACACAAGAACCAATCCCATTTTCTTTCCTTGCAATCCAAAGAGAATCTTGTAAGTACATGTAGAATGTCATCCTTATGTCTTCCTTTTTTTGTTTTGTTTTATTTATTTATGATAGGCACAGAGAGAGAGAGAGAGAGAGAGAGAGAGAGAGAGAGAGGCAGAGACACAGGCAGAGGGAGAAGCAGGCTCCATGCACCGGGAGCCTGACGTGGGATTCGATCCCGGGTCTCCAGGATCGCGCCCTGGGCCAAAGGCAGGCGCCAAACCGCTGCGCCACCCAGGGATCCCTCCTTATGTCTTCCTACCTTTAAAAGTATATTAGTGTCAGTAAGCTTTTCAAAAATTGTTTTTTTTTAGATTTGTGCATCTCTCTCTGTCTCTAAGTATCTCTGTCTCTCTACATATATGTATACATACAATGTATGCTCATTTTGTATATATATAAAACTATAACTGTACAACTGTATAACTGTTAACTGTATAACTGTATAACTTCTGTATAACTGTATAACTGCTATAAGCTCCCCATGTATGAATATATTAGGCTTAAAATCTATTGTCTTGTTAATGAGCATTTAAGCAGCTTATTTTTTTAGGATTTTATTTATTTACTTTAGAGAGAGAGAAAGAGAGCACAAACAGAGGGAGCAGAGCAGAGGGAGAAGCAGACTCCCCTCTGAGCAGGAAGCTTGATGTGGAACTTGATCCCAGGACCCTGAGATCATGCCCAAGGCAGATTCTTTACCTACTGAGCCAGCCGGGTGCCCCAGCATTTACATAGTTTAAATATTTGCCACGCTGTACACATCTCCTTGTGCCTCATCTTCATTTTTAAATTGGAAATATTAATAGTAACCCCCCCATAGGATTGTTGTGAAGAACAAAATACATAATAAATATAAGAATTTTACTCGGTGCCACATAAATACTATGCATCTCCCAGTGTTGTAAATACTGTTTCAAAGATCCTTCTGCACTCAGCTCTCTGACTCCAAGTGTCAGGTGGAGAGATGACACCCAGAAGTGGAAATATATGGTCTTCCAGGGTGTGCTTCATCAACTTGACTATAATTTTCCAGTCGGCTCTCAAAAGTAATTGTACTATTTTATGTTCTCAGGATTATATGGAATCTAGAGTCAGAATCCCTAAGAACCAGCTGTGTGACCTTGACAAGATAATTCTCTGTGACTAGGTTTTCTCATCTGTCAAGTGACTGTAACAATAATGTCTATCTTACTGGGTTGCAGTAGGGATGAAATAAGTTACATGTACAAAACATTTGGAACAACGTGTCCCACACCTCGACTGGACCGTAAATACTAGCTTTCAAAACTGTCACCAGCAGCTTAAGAAAGTTCCCATTTTTCCATGGGTAGCTGTAATTGCCTAATTTATTTTGTTGTTCCCTCCCTCCCTCACTCCCTTCCTTCTCTGTCTCTTTCTTTCTTTGCCAAACTGATGCGTGTGAAATAATGCTCCATGTTTGCTTTGATTTGCTCTGTTAAATAGACAGGTTACGTCCTGGAGGAGTCCCACCTTGCTGGCAGTGGTGATGTTAGTCTTTGAGCTGTTTCTGAAACCAATCCCTGGCTCTCCCTCCTGCTTCCATTGGGTCAGCGGCTTCAACCTGATTCTCCTCCCTCTTCTACCCCATTCAGATATTTATTTATTTATTTATTTATTTATTTATTTATTTATTGAATCACTGGATACTCTTTTAATTTTTTTCTTTTTGTGTATCCTATTTTCATATGACCCATTTCCATAGTCATCTCACTGCTTTGTGTTGGGAGCAGAGGGCTTGTCTCCTTTATAAATTTACAGACCAACTTGACTTAAAAATATTTTTTTCCTGAAAATAACTTATGTTCACTGTAGACAACATGGAAATAGATGAGAAGCATTAGTACAATAAATAAAAACCACCTATACTTCTGGTTAGGAAACATTTTTTCTGCCTTACAGATATGGTGGCTTTGGTGATTATTCCAGTAGCCAAAACGATCCCTCAGCAAAGCTCATAGGGTGAGCACCTACCTGAGCATGAAAACACAGTCTGGGCGAAGGGATGTCTTCCTTTCAAATGATCTGCTAATTCTTTGCAGCCCATAGTTCTTTGATTTCTATGAATCCACAGAAGCAGGCCCACCAAACAGAGTTTTGTCTGCTAACCTGGAAAAGTCTTAATATGAACGAGTCACTGGCAATGGGATCATTTTTAAGTCTGCTCCATTAGGAAACATTTTTTATTAAAGATTTCATTTATTTATTCATGAGAGACACAGCACGAGAGGGAGAGGCAGAGACATGGGCAGAGGGAGATTCAGGTTCCATGCCCGGAGCCAGACGCGGGACTCGATCCCCATCCCGGATCTCCAGGAACACAACCTGGGCCAAAGGCAGCGCTAAACCGCTGAGCCACCCGGGCTGCCCAGGAAACATTTTTTAACACTGTTTTATATTTCCATAAAATGAAATCTAAATGAGATTATATATTAATGCCACTACATAGGAAACTATACAAATTGTGAAAAATCATATCAGAATGTTCCCCATCACAGTTTGATTACATAATGATATAGCATTAAAATAAATTGAATCAAAAGTCAAATCTAAAATTTGAAAGATAATGTAAGAAAAAACAGTTACATGGACTTAAAAAAGTAAAGTATATAATAATTTAAGTAGGAAACAGGGTAAAGGTTTGTATTGTTAAATAAAGTCATGGGATGGTTCCTTTTAAAGAATAAAATACATAAACCAGTTGGTAATGTAAAGATGAAAAGATACAGGGGATTGTACAAAATTTGGCATGAGCAAAGAGATATAATGACACTTTGTATTTTATAATTAAAATAATAAAATATGTTTGAAATTATTTTCTAGGAAATACAAATTGCCAAAATGACCACAAAATCAAGTTAGTAAGCTAAGAGACAAAAAGCCTTGGAAATATTTTATGATACTTATCAAAAAACTACTAACAAAAAAGATGCTCCCAGAAGGTTTTATAGTTAAATTTATTGTAAATTCAAACACATAATTCTGGGGCTATTTAACCCATTAGGAACAGAAAAAAAAAAGGATAATTTCCCAGTAATAGTAATTTCCCAGTAATTGAAAACATGTACCATAACCCTGATACAAAAAAATAGTACATATAAAGCGCATAAAACTTGAAATAAATCTCACTTGTAAGATGCAAAAATCTCGAATAAAGTTTTAGCAAGTCAAGTGCAAGAGAATATCAGTTGAATGGTGAGCTATAACTCATAAGTTGAAAAGGAAATAATGCTTAAATATTTTAAAAATCAAAATCTTCATGTTAATAAGTCAAAAAGAAAAACTCTGCTCATCTTAGTGACAAAAGTACATGTAGTAAATTTCCACATTTTTACATAATTTGTTAAAATCAAAGAATCTACAAGTAGTTTGTTACTCTTATAAAAAGTAATTCTCAATTTCATCTGGTGTCCTTGTATACATGTATATATATGTATCTATGCTGAATTTGAAATAAACCT